TTGCTAACGTGGTATTCAAAAGATGACCGAACGGCAAACCAGATAGACGCTCAAGGTGGGCCACCTCAGTATCTGACAGACGATCGTTGCGAGATGCGGAAGCTGGATCAAACCATGTACTTGTCCGTGCTCCCTTCAAACTCCACTTGTCGACTCGAAGTAAGAGGTTTCTTCCGAAACGTGTTAACGTTATGGCACCATCAGACACAGAAATCCGTGGAGCGTTCAACGAAAGTGTCACTACACGGATCAGAGATTAATCCACCGTTCACATCGAACCTCCAGATAACGTAGATAATCAAACTTCGCCTGATACTTGGTGGCCACACATGAGGGACGCCATAGAAGTGCGATGAATTCGACCTTGCAACAATAGGTATCACCAAGTAAGGACCGGATCTCCACAACGACCCTCCATTCCTCAGCTCCATTTAGGATCGCGCGGTTGTCAAATTTAAAGAACTATTGCTCACTGAGACGTCAAACTACGCAATCAGCAAGATGTGACATTCAGAGACATTGAACCAAGTTAGCTGGCTCCATGAAATCAGCCTCAAACTCTGGTAACTTTCAACATCTCTATTACCTATTACGTAAAGCAGCTAGCAGACATAAACCGCCTTGCACCACCGTTCGGGGTAACTCGGGTCAAGTGATAGCTGATATAGCTGCCGAGACTAGACCGACCACAGAAGACAAGCTGCTGGACACACAGGTAACAGACCTGATATACTAGTACAGCTGACAGTAAATACTATCTTTTATCCTGTTCTGCCTTCTCTTCCTAACACGTAACTTTGGGACATAACCGGCATTGACACAGGAACACACTCGGTTATAACAGTTTCGACGCAGATGAGATCAACCGAGGATATAACCGGTGTTATCACAGGAACACACTCGGTTATGACAGATATGGCTGGCAAAATCGATCCGATCAGAGAGCTACTGTATCGGTGTACACATGCATTTGGGAACCTGCAGCAATCAACTGGAATTTACTCCGAGCCACCTACGAGATCAGAATGGAAAATGGCATTGCAACGATTGAAATGTCGGAAGGAATCGGGTAAGGATGGCATCCCATCAAAAGTCTACAAGAATGGCTGATCTTCGTTGACAAAATCACTTCATCGACTGTACCTGACTGTATGGTCTACAAAAGTCATCCCAACGGACTGGTCATTGACGGATCTCTGCAGATTGGTCGTGAATCCCTCACAATGTAAACTGGAGATATCGACATGATGGTCAACTGAAGACACTGTTCAACACTGTCAAGTCAGACTTCCAACTCATGGGCCTCATAAATGTTTACATCTTGCGAGACTGGAACAAGCACTGGATTGACATATGCAAGGATTTCGCTTTCGATCGCCGCCAGAAGGCCGCCGGTATCAGTGAAGCCGATTCACCGTACAACAGGAACTAATCAAATCAAGTACAAGTAGGCCTTGAGACCGCGACTGCGTCTCAAGGCGCCAACAAAGGCCTTGCTCGGTGTCTGTAAAATTCAGTTTAGTGTGGCAGGTAACATCTGCATTGCCTGACTGAAAAACGTCCAAGTATTCGGCGCTTATGAGGACGAACCATGTTCAGAAATGACATCCTGAAGCCTCGCTTATGAACCTAAACTGTGGTAGCGAAAACCCTAAAATAGATACATACAAGACCATTCAATTAGCGCCTTTTTTCGCAATGCAACCTGTCCGAAGAAGAGCGAAAGCAAAGAACAGCACGTCGTCAGGCCAGTTGGTCATTGAATGTGCATGCAAATTGGTAGTGGCCGATCATAGCACTAAAACTAACCTCAATGCTCTGAGACGTGAGGAAGCTGTCACTTTAACAGAGCGGCCATGAAACCACTTAAACGGGGGCGGGCCGCCCTGTCACTTCAAGAAAGAGTCCTTAACTGCAGTAGCCAAGAATTGTTCAGATGACCATTTTGGATGTGTCCACTGTAGTTTCTATCAAGGCTGTCTGTGCGGCCGCCTCTGCCTGTTTGCATGTGAACTCTATTACCAAGATTCGGGCGGTAAAACAAAATTTTTAGAACACGAAGCTGCGAATAAACTTAAGAAAGCTGTTTTTATATTATTTCAAGAATCCAAGGAAGATATTTCAGCAAGCTTATCACACTGCATCTGGAAGACGGGTATTGGTCAATGTTATCCTTATTTCCTTCTTCAATAAAAGATACGACAAAATATCAAACCTACGTAGGTGCCAGCTTAATCAACGTCGCCGCAAATGTCTTTGAGTATGTCCTGCTCATTCGTTTCTGTCGTCACGCAGCTGCATCGACATGGACAAATGGTTCTTTTTGTGACGATTTCTATGAAAGCAGTACTATCTTATACCGATAATAACAATATTTTTTGATCTTGATTCAGGATTCGACTCGATAAACAAAATTACCCATTGGAATTCCATAGAGCTTGATGGTATGCCAGCCGACCTCGTTAACTTATCCAAGATGCGCCTAAGTTCGAGCTTACGGTAAAGTGTCGTCAACATTGGCATCAGGCATTACAACAAATCCAGCGTCGTAGGTATGTTTAGGGCATCGTCTCACCAATGCTTAAGGGTCGCTCGTCCTAGCTTGTCGCTGTCTTTGAGGCTGTTTCTGCCGGCTGCTCAATAAGGCGATTATTTTTCTTGATGGCAAACACTGATCCCTATCACTGTGTTGGGACAATATACATTTCACACATGCATACTCTGATGGGCTACCCTCTATTTGATTTCATTGTTGTGGTGAGTCTTCTAAAAACCAGAAGTACTGGTTTTCGCAACCCACAGACCAGCATTTTGGCAGAAACTGCCATTGTACGTGGTATGACTCTCCATTTGGCTTTTCGAATTTGGTCTCCAAAACGGACTGCGCTGCAGGTGCGTTAAACAGCACAAGCCTTCCGTGCATGTGCTGGTACACGCAAACCTTCATGCTGCATTGGCCACTGCGCCAAATCCGACCACTTCATGGTTGGCAAGTCTGGATATTTGACTAGTGCATGAAGGAGGGTAGAGAAATCGAAATTGGCATTGGGTACTCCACTACCACAGCTAATTGGCACATTCCTCGTAATAATCCCGACGCACTTGAACACATTTAGAGTCTTTGTTCAGAAAGTCGAGCGCGCTGACGAGAAATTGGGTCTGTATAGTGTTTTTGATGAACTTGAAAATTGAGAGTTAGTCTGCCATCATTCCTTCTTGTCAGGATTGATGTGACGTGTGAGTGAATTTTACGAAAGCCCGATACGGTGGAGCCTTGGGTGACGAGCATCCCTGCCTATGAGCATTTCAGGTAACGAGCGAGCCACTAGCAAAACATTGTTTCGATAGACGAGCTGTCAGTGCGTGTTTGTGCCTGTGTCCGCCGTTGAGTCTTGCTCTCGGAGCGTGGGTCCTCGGTCACCTGCAGCCAATCAGTGAGCTGATGCAGTTTGATTGGCTACGTTTCGCAAGACGAACGTTTCACATGACGAGTTCGGTGCCGGAACGGATTAAACTTGTTAACCGGGGTTCTACTGTATTTGTTATGGAGTCCGGGTTGTGTTTTCCACGCGTAAACGGACCGCTTACTATCGGAACCTGATAGGCGTGGAATGATGGAGTGCGGTAGATGCCGTGCGAGTCCGCTTAATGAAAATTAAATTCTGGTCCAAGTCACTGGTGCTGCGTCCACTCCACGGGCACCTCGTCGCCTTCGACGGTCACTATTTAATCAACAAAGCCGCCGCGAGAAGTCCGACTGCATGCGGCCACATACAAACCCAAGTAGAACGGAAACACAGATGATCACTAACGTATTTCAGAAACAAACGCAGACCGAGTAGGACCCAGAAGGGAACCTCCTGTCCGGCTTGAACCCATCGTAACGTTGTATCTACGTCTTTCAAGGACGAGTCCCCTTTTTATGTAACACTTATGACCCATAAACGCCCAGCTATTATAGTCCAACGTCCCTTTATTCCTTTTGTCTGGCGATGAGTCTGTGTCAGCTGCCGAAAAATGTCCGATTACAACAACTTTTTTCCCGATGAACCTCCTGTTCTTCTTTCTATCAGTCCGGAATGACTACTCATACACTTCGTAGACATATGCCTAAATATATATGGTCATTTAGTTGAAGATCCCTCAATGTCAGATAATACCAACAAAGATTGTGAGGTCTGTAAAACCAGGGAAT